AAAGAACCATGAAAAGATCAAGAAGAAGTCAACATCAAGGACCCATTTACTTATCATATTTGTACAACTTGGCTCCCTAGAAGCTGATACAAATTCACAAATTCTTGAATCAAGATGTTCCGATAAAAATGTAAATTGCAGCGCGTGCATCAATCTGCCCATAGTTCAGAAACTTCACATTATATTCATCTTGTAATTTGTGTTCATCCCTTTCATTATCTGCAGTAGCAGGTTGTTGTATAGAGTAAATCTTATCACCCATAGGGATCTAAATGTGAGCTTCCATTGTCACCTTTCTGATTCTTTGACATATTTGACATATCTGTTCCAAGCCACCAATGCTGCGCCCACAGCAGGTTCGACCTGCAATTCAACAAAAAAATGCACACTACAATTGATGCAAGTACTACTGATTAAGAAAAAAGAAGAAAAGGAGCACGTTTACTTTTGTAATTTGTTTGGTCTGTAAATCATCCAACTGCATCATTGATAGCTCTTCGACTGGTCATCGCCGCTCTTTAGCAGCATTCAATAACTATTTTCCAGCATTCTTGCGAGCAAGAGTCCAGTACCTTCGTACAGCATTCTATTGTCCACAATATTCTAATGCATTCGCTATCCTCTTACATCAATTAATGCATATAATGCACACCTAATACACTCCATACAGACCTTTTTTACGATCTAATATTTTTAACAAAGGCCATGGTCTGGCCCCTGAACTTGGGACGCCCCAAAATCCAACTGATCAACTTCGCCAACGAGACAGTCCCTTGTGGCACTCAATTAAAATTACATCACTTTTTCCATTTATATATGCTCCACACCATTCTTATTTTGTACACTACTGCTGCCGCAGGTTCACTGGCACAACAAACTTGACTAGATCTACAAACCTCCCAAATTTTACTTTTGCCTTTCCTCATCCTACAAAAGACAAAATTGAACAGTCCTGATGAAGCTGTCCGAAATTTTCGAACAAGTCCACCACCTCATCATTCCTAATTATGACCTCACCTCATATACTCTCACTATAATCAGAACATTCTGGATATTTAGCTTCTCATAAGCATTTCCTTCCCTTATCTGATATGGCATATAAATAAAATTGAGGAAAAGCGATGGAAGTACACTCAAGATAGAAGTACATTCAGAACGAGATTCTTAACAATCAACACACCACCTAGTTCTTTCTACTTATCGACATGAATATTTTTCATGCCGTGTGTAATAAACTCCTGATTGGGAAGTTCTTATGGTTAGTTATAATAGCGAACTCTACTCACCTCAGGTCGAATAGGACGAACTCCAGGATAAACCTTGGAGATACGGTTTATGATTTCCTTCCCGATATCCCAGCTCTTATTAGCATTAAGAACACCTCCAACCATAACAAGCGGAAAATGATTCTTTCCATCTGCAACCCAAAAGTAGCTATATCCACTCAATTTGATGATAAATCAAAACTGAGAAACAGTTATGCAAGAACATATAGGAATTAAAATCTTGATTCTAGAACCTTTTAACAATCTAAATCATTCTCGAATCATCATAGTTCGGTGCACTTCACCTTTACCACACAATCCAAGTCTCTGGACGACAGCTTTAACACTATCAGCCAATTCCTGGACCGCGTCATGCAATATTCTGTTGGCAACTTCGTCACCAGCCTCAGCAGAAGAGACAACCACAGGGACAAGTGCAGCAATACGAGCCCAAGAGGGGTCTGCATAGGTCCACCTATGCCATACAAGGGGAAATTATGTCTCAAGCAGCTTCTTCCACTAGAAGTACGCAAAGCAGTTTTAAAATGTTGTTAATGGAAAGATGAGACTCTGCAACGTGTTTTCCTTTAAGAATAAATGTTGTACCTTTGTTTCAGACAAACAGAAATAACATGTATCAAGGAAGAGATAAGACAGACAGGACTGTTTAGCACTGATTGGTCTGCTCATCTATTCATCACAAAGATATCTTAAGGAGTCTTCGTCAGAAATCCAGAGTCTCAAGAAGTTCAAAAAAGAAAAAAGCCACTTGACTCTCTATATCATTGTGATCCTTACTTCAAATGAATCACATCAGAATTTCCTTTATATATCATTTCTAGATCAGAGGAATGTTACAACAAGATCACTCCATAACATAAAATGGCCTGCGTTTCATTGTGATACAATATTATATAGAGTCAATAAACTCAAATATAACTTATCCAACAGAGGTTGAAGATGGTCACACACTTTCATTAGCAGAAAGGCTAAAAAAAGGGATTCGTTCACCAGGATTCAGACAGCTCTATTAAACATCTGATGAGACAGAGATCCTTGTTATATTTAAAAGTAACGATGGACAAAAAGATCGTTAAGTTGCATATGTTCCTGGGCAATAACAATTTCATCTGTTCTTTCATGGTCAAACAGCAGTTTATCGTCCTTGAAGATTAAAAACCCCATATTGATAAACAGTCAGTTCTCTCACCCAATGCATGACTTCACAATGTTTTAAAGATTTTTACATACTGGAGGAAAAAAAGGCCATTAATTGCAAAGACAATAAATTCAACTCAACTTGCCACATAATAATTAATAATAAAATATCTATTTAGAACAATTAGAATTTGCAACCATAATTCATATCCTTAACTATATTTTATATAGTCGTGAGACTCTTGTTTTAGGGGTTTTATATGGAAACAATCTTCACTTTTCACCAAGTTGATGGAAATCACCATTTGGATTTTTTTGGTGGAAACCACCTTTACTTGCTTTTGTGGTTTGCATAGTCATAGTCACACATTTTGGCGAATTATGCTGATAGTTTTGGTGAAATTCTTTAAATACCCTTAGCCATCTTCTCCTCTCTCCATCTCCTCCCTCTCCTCCCCTCTCCCCCTCATGTTCTCCAGTCTCTCCTACCCCTCCCTCCCTCCCTCCGCCAAACTCTCCCTCTTCCTCTCCTCCCTCCTCTGCCCTCCTCCTCTCCCTCCTCCTCTCCCTTCTCCCCTCTACTAACCACATCTTCCCCACCCTCAAACTCTCCCCTCCCCTTTCTCCCTCCATATTCCACCTCGCCCTTTGCTCCCTCCCCCGCCACTCCCTCTTAGATGATTTATTCACCAACGACCCATTGCTTTCCACCCTTCGTCCCAAAAAAGCCTCCCCTTCGACTTCCTTGAGTCGATTAGGGCTAGGGTGGGGATTGAGGGGAGATGTGAAGGGAGGAGGGGGAAGATGTAGGAGGTGGAGGTGTGAGGTTGGTTTAATAGAGGGAGAGGAGATGAGGGGCGGAGAGAGGGGAAGAGGCTGAGAGTATTTGTGGATTTCCACCAAAAATATCAGTAGGATTTGCTAAAATGTGTGACATTGCAACCATTACAGCAAGTAAAGGTGGTTTCCATCAAAACAATCCAAAAGGTGGTCTCCATCAATTTGGGAAAAAGTAAAGGTGATTTCCATGTAAAGACCTTCGTTTCGATGATTGTTCTATATCCAGATTCCAGTGAGTGCCGAGAATCAACTCCTGCATCAAGTAAGAATTTACAAGTAAATGCAAGAGCATACCCGATTAGTTCATCTGGTGACGAAAGCTCAAGCATCTTCAGAATGTTCGTTGTAAGATTTGTTTGTGGTCCACGGCCATCATAAGCCTTGATCACTGCTGTCAGTGCCTGTGCAGCAATTCCATACCCACTGCATAATTTACACATCTAGTCATCTAATTTTTTTCTTCCATATTCATAAGAGAAGATAAAAGGCAGAAATAAGTTCAAAAGATTTAAGAACAACATCTGTAAGTGAAACACATGTTCATGCTCATAGCTCTGACTATAAAAATCCACATGATATCGGTAAAGGGTATGTAGCAAGGATCAACATTGTAAATAAATTAAGAAAACATTGTAAATAAATTAACTAGCGAAAACCTAAAGTAAGAATACTTTTCTTTTGATAGTGACTTTTCTATTCTCTCTTCTTCACTTTCCCTGTTATTTTGATGCCTCATCACTTGGCTTTTCCTCAATATGATAACCCTCCACTTCTTCAGGTTTACAGTATGTCAAGTGCTACTGCAATGTGGTGTAGTCAGTATTCAATTAAGCAACTAAGTTAGCCTGCCTACACCATATGTACCCAAAGGCTTAAGTTGCAAAAATAAAAGGGAACCAGAGTTGAGAAAATTAAAATAAAAACGCATATGAAGACTCTTTACATTTTAAAAACTTGAAGAGTAAAATCAGCACCACATTGATACATTCCAACATTTTTAGCTACTCATCTTTTCTGAAAATTTTGTTTCTTAGTTTCCAAAATGTAGAAGCATAAATCATGGCTGGCCATGAAGCTATCTTTTAATTTGCTACTGTCATACAGTACTCTAGAAGAATTCTTCCCCTTCAACATTGATGCTTCAATTTTATAAACAACATCTCGATGAATGACTAATCTTAACTAAGGAAAATGATCACCGGTGTTTCTTGTTGAAAAGTGGAAACTACACCCTCAACTTCTCATAGCTTTCCAAAAGATACATTTCATACTACTATTTTTAAACACTGCAAAAGTTCATAAAAACAATTAACAAGAGAAAAAAGACAAAACAATGAAATACTTTTGTTAGTATGGTTCATTAAGTGTAGGTTTTCTTCCTACTGCAGCAGCTCATTAAGTGAAAATTAACTTAGTATGCTGTTGCATATTGTAAAACCTAACCAACAGTTATTCAATGAGTGATACCATCAAGTAGCACTAGCTGCAACTGTTTTCTTCCAATTTTTTTTTAATAAATAAAGTATCTGCACTATTCCAATTATAATGCACAACTGAAGGACTCTTAAAATGTAAATCCCAGTGGTCAAGGAGATATCGGTGATACAAGGGAGTACAAACACTAACCTGCCCCAGTCTCCCAAAACAGGCCCAGCACCAGAAGCTCGGGCTTCCCTTCCATCTTCGGTAAACCCGTAAGCAATACAACCGGTGCCAACAATCAATACACAACCATGAAGCTTCCCCATTGTCCCACTAGCCAATGCTGCCACAGCATCATTTTCCACAAACAACTTGACATGACTTGGAAAAATGTCTCTGCAAAGGAAGGAGTATCCTCTGAATAATTTCCATATGATATGAAGGGGCAAGGTACGTTCAGTTACTTTCAAATCATAAACCAATTGATGTTGGATAATACAAGGTACTAGCTAACGAAAGCTAATTTGGAATACAACACACAATGAAGGAAGGGAAAAACAGAAAAGAAAGAAAACCACATGTGTTCATCTTCCAGAAGTTTCTTTCTTATCTATTCTGCATGTGTGAGTTCTGCTTGTAAGAAAAGGAAACAAAAAAAGGGGGGAAAGGAACCCAGTGAAACAACATAATGACGTGGAACGGGTATTGATTTGACCAATGTAGACAAGTCTCCCAAAGAAGGATGAGAACTTATATATGATTATATATATTCTTGCTGTGTTAAAATTTCTTACTGGTGCTGTACCATTTATGTGAACATGCAGTGCCAACTTCCAATGCCCGCTTACCTCGGTGAACCAACGTAGTTAGTTAAATATGAAAGATGAGCAAACCATGTTGTCTCCTAAAATTCATGAGAATATTAAGCAAGAAGTAGCACACTTAAAGTGCCATGGCTGTCTTTCCCTTTATCTGGAGTAAGCCGAATAAAGTTTCATCTCCAAGTAACTCATTGGTTTCCAATATCTCAAGAAGAAGATTATCAGATATCTATATGAGTTCTTAAATACATTTAAGTATTTTTAACATCAGATAGATTTAGGAGAAATAACCAAATGCTTCATTTGAATCTAGTAGTCGTCATGAAAAATCCAAGCCTTTCATCATGTTAGATGTCATCATCATGGCCAAGGACATAAACAACAATATAAGTAGAGCCTATGAAATAATGTCGATGAGTTTTAAAATATATATCTATTCATCTATTTGGAAATCTAAGAATGCAGCAGGATGAATGCTCAATTGTACAATTTACTGGCACCCTACAGGAACAAAAGTGTAATACTACAACAGAACCCATGTCACTTGCATATATGATTTCTAAATGTAATGATGACCTACAAAATAGAAAGATAAAATTATTGCACAAAGACCATAGTGCTTTGGCTAGTGGGAAGCTTTACATATAAGAATTGCATAGTAATAGAAATAATTCAAATCATCGAAATAACAGGTAGGCCTAAGAGAACTTGATTGGAAGCAATTAAAAATGCTATGTAATTTTCATGTAGGCAAACCCTTAACAGAACTGAATGGAAAAAAATAGAATTCATGTAGGCGATGCCAAGAGTTTGGGATAAAGGCTTAGTTGTTATTGTTGTTGTTATCTAATTAAAACAGGTGGATCACAGACAACATTAGATAGGTGTGGCCCCAAATAGCCACAAAGTATCATAACTCTGATAAGCATAGCCTTTTAGAAGAATTAAATTGAACTGAATTTATTCGAAAAAAGAATTATGGGAAAGACCTGAGCCATCCCAGTACTCTTTGCTGATCTGAAGGATGATTAACACCGGATAAGGACAAGCAAACTGCTCTAAGATCTGAACAATTAGACCCTGCTTTTGAAAGGGCTTGAGTCATAACCTTCTCTAAGGCCACCTTTACCGCAGCTTCTGCAGACCAGAAAACGAGTCACTTAAGGTTATAAAACTCCATCAACTCATCGACAAAGGATCTCAACTTAAAAAGGTAAACTGGGGTCATTTTTGAAATCAGTAGCATTTGATGCTATGGTAGTGGGGTCAACCTTTTAAAAAATATAAAATGAACAAGAAAAGTATATTCTTACCAGTTATTACGCCATTGAAAATAAATTTGAAGAAAAACTATATAACATCAGCACAGCGAGCGGCCAGTTGCCTTCTGTTTTCCTTTCAAGAGCCAAGGGTTCATGAACGTATGATTCCTAAGTTTTTGTTATGAAACTCCTGTTCATGCTTTTTTTTCACTCCAACTATATCCAGACAAATAAAAAAAGGCCAAAAATTTCTAATTGTGTTATTGTTTGAGAAGAGAAGAAGATAATCTGATGAAGGTGTAAAGTAATCCTCATTCATTTTGAGTAGAATTATTGAAGAAACCACCTTGTGTTAAGCAACCTCAACAACTCTAAAGTGCAAACAACAAAATATCTACTGTTCCTAGAAGATACGGGTAAGTTCCTAACATAGACTCCTCAGGCCATCAAGTCCATGTCTGGAATTTAGTACATCTCGCAGTCATATAAAGGCACGTAAAAATAAGTCTGCAGCACTTATGACTACATTAAAGACAAGTTCCCTACAAATGCATGACCAAAAGTTTATATTTTGACCTGTTTATGTACTAACCTAATCACAATTACACCCAAAGAAAAACGTATTAATCCAAATACTGCAAAACATATATTCACATGAAGGCAATCATACTTTTAAGTCAGTTTTAACATAAGGATCCAAGACAAAATCCTAAAAAAGCATAGGCTAGGTTCCCCGCTCTTTAATACAACCTAGAACATTAAGACGCCCACAAGGAACATAGTAAATGATCAGGCCTCTCAAGTAGTAACTAGAGCGACTGCAACCCTGACGTCAAGCTGGTCATGGTGACGGACAAAGAGAACGATATATAGTTGATCGCCGATCACAATATTTCTAAAGTATATATGGACGGAACCTACCAAACTGAATGTGCTAGGAAAGAGCGAAAAATTCAAACCAACGTCTAAGAAATTATCATGTTATAAATGTTAATGAATGCAGACTAACGAAACTATGGAGTGGACAGTTTAGCTCTTGTCGATTGAAGCACCAACCCACGGTGATAGCCGTATCATATCAGATTCGAAGCTCTGCTGGGTTGCTCCATCTGACTGCCAAATATCGTTGACATCGGCTAACAACAGCCAGTATGCTGATGTAGGCTAATAATGACTAACAGATCATGAGATTTGAGATTTGAAGCACTAAAAATGAATTTGACAGGGTTGTATTAGGAAAAAAAAAGAAAGAAATCAACGAACAGAGATGTTGTGATTAAAATCTGACTTATTTTCCGTAATGTTGACTCCGATCGGAACGGCTAAAACTCTTTGTATCGATCGATGGTGTAAAGGTGGACAGAAACCGTAACAAACACCACAACATCTAATTAAGATTAGATGCGCAGAGTCACAAACAAAGCAATTAAGATGCAGAGGGGGAAAAAGAAAAAAGAAGAAGAAGATGTTACCGCCAACAGAATTGTGGTTGGTACAGCCGGCGAGGGCGCGAGAGAGGACGGGGAATTGGGCGGAGGAGGACGACGTAATCGACGCCGGAATACAAACGCAGACTATGACGCCGCCGTCAGCGGTTGACGGCGTCGCCTCCCCATTTGATCCGCACCCTTTCATCATCGTCTTCTCAATCCCTCTATGCCTATTTCTCCTGGGTCAGCGTCGTCGTAGCTCTCATCGCCACGGATTTCTTCGATCTAATATTATAATTATTATTTTGGGGCCTTTTGCCCCTCCTTTTGGAATGACGAAAGCACTCGCCGGTGCGGAGAGGCTTTGAGGCACACGCGGCACGTGCCATACGAGGCCCAGGGGGGGCTAGAGGAAGTTTTCCCTATATTTTATTATTTTACAACAAGTCCTCTCCATCGACTGAGCCGACCGCCTTCCCCTTCCGCCTCTCGCTCGGGTGCCCGTCGCCGGCCCCATCTCCATCGCCGTAATTTATTTTCCCTCAAAGACTCTGCCCCCCTCTTTTATTTATTTATTTTATTTTTATTCGCTTCTCCTCGTGGGAAAACACTCCCCTGGCCTCACAGACTCTCCCAAGTTTGCTTCTTTTCTAGGTTAAAAAAAAAAAAAATTAAACAGGAAACTCTTGATGTTACCTTCACCTCAGGTGTTAAAAAGAGGGCATCCCATCTTTTTTTTTTTTTTATGACAAGGGAAACTTGGTCACCCCAGCTCTGTTTAACTCCTTCGGAGCCCCGCCAACGGCCCTGGTTCGATTCTCATTGTTCCCTTCACATCTACAAGGAGCTACCCTTAATACCAGGGGCTCATCCCCACGGGCAGAGCGCGGGCGAGCAGCGTGGGGACCACTGGGACGCGAACCGGTGAGCATACAACGAGCTGAGCTGGATTTGGTGACCAATAAAACCCCGGGTTTCCATCCCCACCCTTAAACCAAGGGAAACCAGGTGAATGCGGCTACGAGGATTCGAACTCCTGACCAACAAACGGGCAATAGCCTGGAGAGATACACTCCCCCATGGAGAGCTGCTGACCATGAGTCCCACCCGCGGGTGGTAGGGCATCCCATCTTTATCTTACGTAAATTTGTTCTCTTCCTCCTCTCAAAAGCCCCAGCCTTCCCCTTCCAACGATTGCAGTGGGTGATCGATACTGAAGCTTAATTGGCCACCACCGATATGGTTCGCTGCTCCCAATGCTATATGATAGCGACAAGGTAATTCCTCATCGTCTACATCTTCTTATATCATAAATATTTGTATTTTAATTTTGGAACAACATGCTCTTCTTGACTACCTGATTCAATGCCAAATAATCTCCTTCTGTCATGATTAATTTTCACCCATATCAGTTATAAATAAATCGTTGTGCCTTGCTGATCTCTCAATATTTCACAAAACCAAGCAAGCTCTCATCGGATACCCAGTGACCATGTCACCACTTCCACGAATATATCGGATTAGGAAAATTTTATTAGCGCCACTCTTAATTATAACCCACCGCACTACCGTAGAATGGGTTATGAATTCTTATGTTCAAATCACCCCTTAGATCATTCGTGAATCTGATTAGAAAGTTAATCAAAGTAAATTTAAGATTTGGGCATTTGGAAAGTTAGTATTCAAATCTGGATTCAAATATAGTCCTCGTTTCCTTTTGGGGCCACGGCTTCAGCAATAATATACAATATTTTGTTGAGAGCTTATTTTCAATATAAATTCAGATCTAAATACATTAGTTTTGGATCCTTTGCATTTCAGTTTAGAAGACTTTTAGCTTGTTATTATTTTTTTATTATATGGATAATTTGTGTAGAAAATTTTGCATTAGGAAGTCTCAAGACTATCCCGTGTCTCGCAGTATAAAAGTGATGATATATTATGCTATCAAGAGCAAAGAACACCCCACCTAGTATTGTATATTTTTTGTCTACTTCTGTTTAAAAATATTAATCATTCTGATAGCCTAATTGAAATCAGTTCTATATTACAGGAATTGGTATTTTTTGGCAATAACTACTACTATTATTATGTGGATTCGAAAGCATAAAGTTGTTGACATTATTTATCAATTTAGCGAGACTCAAACTCACCCAGCACAGTAGTTTATTGTCGTCTAATTGAGAAATGTTAATCAGAGGAACTATTTGAGTGTGTCTCGATGAAGGGTCTACATGTTTACACAATTATCTGTCTCCCCTTCTGTTGTTCCTTCCCTCTTTAATCTTCTGCTCTCTCTTTCTTTAAAACCCACCAGAGAAATAATATGAACCGATTATCTCTTTCATCCCTTAACTCATATTCTCAACCCAATCGAAACCCATCTCTCTACTGTAGGCGTCAAAAAATGCTAATAGATATCCCAAGCATAGAGAAGATCACTCAAAAATTCACAAGAAAGGATTTCATACTGTTTTGGAAAAATCAAAACAAGTATGAACTGTCTCGCCAGCGAGACAGTCTTTGCTGTCTCGCCAGCGAGACAGTGTTGAAATAGTCAAAACTACATTTGTAACTGCCCTTCACGTGTCCATTAACTGCCAAGGGACGTGGGAAACATCATGGGCGAAAATCACGTGGATAACTGCCAAAATAACGGAGTTTGAAACGTGAGAGAACAGTTACAGCGAGAAACTGCCATTTTCCGAGACAGCATTTACTGTCTCGCTGAGCGAGACAGCAAATTTACTGTCTCGCGGGTCGAGACAGCAAACGCTGTCTCGCCCAGCGAGACAGTAAACACTGTCTCGCCGTACTGACTTCTTCGATTGTTAAGTCTTTGCAGTTACAGACCCCAGAGGCTATAAATACCTCCCTAGGGTCACTTCTGACGAGGATCGAGCATTTGTTAGAGCATTCCAGAGCAGAGAGAGCAGAGATTTGGGTTCTTTTCTTGCAACGCCTTGAAATTAAGCTTTGACTTGATTTTAAGAAGAACGACTATCTTACTTCGATAAGATATCGTTTCAATTTCTACTTCGATAACGAAGTTAGAATCATAAGCCCCCTCTTCACGATCTGTGAATCGGCGGTCCACGAACCAAAGCGTTCCCGGCACAGGCAAAGTCCCACGAAAACGAGAATTGATAGACGATTTTCGTGTTTGTTTCTCAAGAGTTGTAATTTTTGTTTTGTTGTGTAGAAAAAGTCTTATAAAAAGATTATTCTTTCGAATTTGTTGTAATCGAACAAAGTTATAATGAATTCCACAGCAGCGACTTTTGAACCAAACAAGCTGGCGACCACAGTGGGAGCCAGCGGTCTCGCTGCCGAGACCGCGGTGTCGCAACCGATCAAGATCATCATCAATGAAGAGATCGAATACGAATTCGATCAGGCGAAGTTTGAGGAGTATTTATCATCCTCATCCGCGAAATCTTCCTCGTCTCGCAAATATAGGAAGATTTCGAAAACTTTCAAGTCTGCAATTCCAACGGAGGCCGCAGACAAAGATTCTGGCTCGATCGTTGTTAAGGAATCTCCTTGCAACGTCCCTGCTCAAAACGACTCTACACCAGTTACGGAGTCGTTGATCAATAGCTCACCGGTGCTGACGAAAAGAGCTCGTCAGAGACAGCGTCAGCGCCGTGCTCGACAATTGGCTAAGGCCATGCAACAAACCGACGGGGTCCATTACTATGCGGACCTAGAGTCGAGGAAACAGAAAGCGGTTCAATTGCCCCAACGGCAAAATAATTGTATTTCTGCAAAACTTACGACGGAGGAGTGGACTCTCGTCAAAAGGGCCCGTTCAACCCTCAAGGAACGGATACAGAGGCGTAAGGCGAAGGCTGCCCAAACTCGCGCTCTTCGTCAACAAGCGCAAGGAACCAAGAAAGAGACAGTGTCTGAAAAGTCACCGAAGAATCGTAAAGTCTGGATGCCAAAGACGCCGCAAGCATCTGTTCCGGGCCCATCTACTGCGTCGTCGGTGAAACCCTGGGTTAGCCCAGATTTGTCTAAGTTTAAAGTGACAATGGCAGATCGCCTCGGTCCTTCGGTTGACGATCGAGGCAAAGCCCCAGTTAAACAACCATCAGATGCTGCAAATAAACCCATAGTGGTTTCATATGCAGGGGGTCGTAAACACCCACCTGTCAGAACCTCACAAGTCCAGAACGAGAGAATACCAGTTCACTCTCGTTTAGGACCTATGAAAACTCCACTCCCGCAAGGGGGTGGATTCAAAAATTCAACTTTGGATCGCTCAGAGGCGACGACCAGTCGTCCTATGTATGTTAACAAAGTTCAGAGGCAAAGGATAGGTTGCTCGAATCACAATAATGACGAGCTGTACTATCAGAAGAAGAATTTAAGAAAGAGGATTGTCCGAGAGAATGAGTCCCATTGCGCTTGCGAGAGACTCATCAAAGCAGTGCTGACAGAATGCGGATGCTCTAAGAATAATTCAACAAGAGTCTCCGTATTTCAAAGATTGTCCAATGAAGCGTCAAAACCCAAAATGAGACGTTTCAACAAGAAAAAATCTGTAATCCAACGAGATGAATTCCCTGAGGTCACTATCAACATGACCAACAAAGGAAAGAAACAGTTAGTTAACCCCGACCCTGATTTCTCTCCGGGAGGGAGAGTTGAGCAGGGTCTTTCTCAAAGGATGGCGCGATTACAAAGAAGAGCCAACCTACGACGAGATTACAAGAGAATGCACGAGGGGTTATCTTCGGACGAAGAATTATCAGACACTTGTTCTGCTGTCGCTTCTGACGACACCACATCCAGTGTTGGACAAGCCAGAGAATCATTTGCAATTACGCCAGATCAATTGGCTCACATGCTGCAGGAAGCGTTGGCTAAACAACGCGAAGAAATTAGAGCTGAGTTCAAAACCGAAATGGAGTTGACTATGCAGCAGATGCGGGATTTGCAGGTTCAGCAACACCAACCGGAATCAAGCCAAAGAGCAGAATCCAGTCGGCGTAATGAAGAGGATGAGACGATATTTGAAGATCCTCCTCCAGATAAAGACAACTCCGGAAGCGATCCGACCAAGTCAGCCACTCAACCTCCACAGATCTATTTGAAGAAAAGCGAGGAAGAGGACAAGAAGATGCACGATCTTGAGAGCAAAGTCAACGCTTTGATGACGGCTCAAGAAGTGAAGAAAACGGGCATCCCATACCCGTACCC